TTCCTAACCTGGCAGTCACTGACGTTAGTAATGAAATAAGGAAGCAGTGTGGACTGCACAGTGCTGCTCCATTCAACCTCAAGTATCTTGATGTTGAAAGTAAGTCACGTCATCACGTGTTGTCCATGTACATGTATGCACATCTGTTGTGTATTGTGTAGCTATACTAGTTTGAATTTACTTGTATTGCTTGTGCAGTTGTTTTGGCTTAAGAATTATGTATTTTTATTGCATGTACATGTACACGTATCCCTTGCCAAAAAATGTCACTCGATAAATAGTACATTATAGATGTACATGTGTTATGATGTACATGTGTACTTGTAGACGATCCTGTTAGTGTTTCATTGGACAGGCAGAGGGAATGGGACGAAGCTATCAGATTATTCTTTTACAACGAAGAGAAGGAGCTTCAACTCCATGGTATGTGAGCACACTTTATCATTTATGATTTATTTTGTTCTCCAATCTATAATAGAGTATACATGTATTATTATTGTTATTATTATTATTATTATTATTTTGTTATTTTTTTAGTATTTGAGGGCCCACCACCTAAGCCTGGTGAACTGTGTGAAGGAGAAGACAGTAAGCTAGTGGAGAGAGGGAGGGAAAGAAGAAAAGAGAGAGAGAGGGAAAGAAGGAAAGAGAGAGGGAGGGAGGGAGAGAGAGGTGGGAGGGTGTGTTTAAACGGTAGGAGATGTCCTAAAGACAGTGTTTGTTACCAGCTGTGTGTTGATTAGTGTACTAAAGACAGCTCTCTATTGGGTGACAATTTGTAGCAATGTGCATTAATTGTAAACTATGAGCTATTCTCTCTTTTTCTCCTTTAGCTCGTGTGTATCATCGTCGAGGTGCTAGGAGGTGGAGGAAAGTCCGTCGTATCAATGGTCACGCATTTGTAGCTAAGAGACTACAGGTAATCTACATGTACATGTACATGTACATATACTGTACATGTACATGTATGTACAGTATATACATGTATAATTATATGTACATATATACATGTACATGTACTTACATATGCATACAGCACTTGTGCTGTTTGTATGAATTCATGCTTTTAGTAACACTGTAAGTATACTAGTATGCAGGGTTTCCCACAAAGCATGCTAAAAGCATGTGCATGTACGTGGTTCTGGGGCAACTTTAAAAATTTGTAAAAAATCCAGTTTTGATCAGAATCAGCTCAAACTTGCTACACAATATAAGAACATGTATATGTATCAGGAAAAGTTATAAAAATGGAGAATTCTCTATTTTTCATTTTTGATAAAATTTGACCAAAATCCCTGTACTATAGTACAGGGACTTTGGCCCGATTTTTGAGTAACTTTAAAAATTCGCAAAAAAATTCAATTTTTACCGGAATTAGCTCAAACTTGCTACACAACTCAAGAACATGTATATGTATCAGAAAAAGATATAAAAATGCAGAATTCTCTCCTAGTCATTTTTGGCAAAATTTGACCAAAGACCCTGTACTATAGTACAGGGACTTTGACCTGAAAAACCTGCATGAGCACTACGCCAAAATCCTGTGGGAAATCCTGCATGTACACGCCTGTGTATTTTATTAACTAATTGTGGCAACACATTTAGAGTAACTACACATAATTACATGTACATGTACATGTAATGAAATGAATGTACATGTACATTGCATGTATTACAGTTTGATCTCTAGTTGTAGTACTGTGGTTGGCACAGTGTCTCTTAATTACTCTAACATGATGTACCTGTACAATTAGTGACATTTAATCCACAGAGTGATTGCTAGTACTATCAATCAAACTAATGATCCGTGTGATGATGATAGCCAGTAACTGTGATATCCATTTACATCAGTACTAGTCATTGCTTCTACTAGCATTACAGTACAGTACATGCATGGACATATACATTGTTATAGATCTAGAAATAAATTTTGGAAGACCAATCTAACTAGAAATAGGAAACTTAGGCTAAATATGAGAGACTGAAAGCTCAGAAAATGTGAGATTTTAGGAGACATAGACCAAATGTGAGAGACCAAAAGCCTCCTACTTGTAACTCCCTTTAAAACTAACAGTACTTTATACATTATTATTATTACTTTATTCTTTTGTTGTAGGCTGCATATTGTGCCAAATGCCGTGAGCGTATCTGGGGTCTTGGAAGACAGGGCTACAAGTGTGAGGCCTGCAAGATGGTGGTTCACAAGAGGTGCTGCTACTATCTTAATAAAGATGAGATATGTGCAGGACATCCAGTGAGTTTATAATCGCAATACACACACTCTCTCTCTCTGTTAGTCATGTTGATCATGAAATTTGTGTCATCATTTTATTTTATTGTTTTTGTAGCCTGCAAAGCAACCAGAGGAATCTGACAAGAAGCCATCGGATCCGTTTAATGACTTCTTGAATGTGAGTGGGGAAAGAGAGAGGGGAGAGAGAGAGGGGGAGAGAGAGAGAGAGGGAGGGAGAGAGAGAGAGGGGGAGAGAGTCATTGTGAGAGACAGGCACATTTGGTGGAGAAGAATAGAAAGGAGAGAAAGAGAGGGAATGATGTTGGTAGTTGTGATAAGAGATGGTTAAAAGATTAAAGTGGAGATGAATGCATGGGAGATTGTGATTGATGGTCTTTGAAGTAAGAGAGGGTGGGAAGAGGATGAAGATTGGATCAATATTTATTTCACAGTAATTCTATTCTCTTTATCTTTTACAGATCAATCCTGTATCTGAGAGTCAAATATCACTTGATGACTTTGACATTCTTAAAGTTATTGGACGTGGAAGTTATGCCAAAGTATTGATGGTAAGTAAACTGAATATAATAGCACTCTCATTATTATACAATCCACCTCTCTCCCCCCTCTCTTTCTCCCCCCTTTCTCCCCCCTCTCTTTCTCTGTTAGGTTGAATTAAAACAGACCAAGAGAATATACGCTATGAAAGTAATCAAGAAGGAGCTGGTTATGGACGAGGAGGACATTGACTGGGTACAGACTGAGAAGCACGTGTTTGAGCAAGCCTCCAATCATCCTTTCCTTGTTGGACTCCACTCTTGCTTTCAGACTGAGAGCAGGTCAGTACACATGCAATTTACATGCATGTACATGTACATGTAGTTTATAAGGGTATTACATGTACATTGTACATGTACATGTATACACATAGTCACATACTACACTTTGTTATCCTCTTCTTTTTTCTTTCTCTCTCTCTCTCTCTCTCTATTCTTAAAGATTATTCTTTGTTATTGAGTGTGTTAATGGAGGTGACCTCATGTTCCACATGCAACGTCACAGGCGTCTCCCCGAAGAACACGCAAGATTCTATTCGGCTGAAATTGCTCTTGCACTTAATTTCTTACACGAGAAAGGTTTGCCTGTACAACAATTAATGTACATGTACATGTATATACAATGTACAGTGTAGGACATGTACATGTATACTGTATGTGAAAAGCAATTTCTCAATGTGTTATGAGTATGTACATGTATAAGCTACATGTATGAAGTACATAATTATTTTATTAATTTTATTATTATTGTAGGTATTATATATCGTGACCTGAAGCTCGATAATGTTCTATTGGATCAAGATGGACACATCAAACTAACTGACTATGGAATGTGTAAAGTCAGTCATTATATCAATCATGCATACATGTACACATACATGTACATGTACATGAATGTGTAATCTTTTTATTATGCATGAGCATGTATTCAGTGCTTTCTCTCTCTCTCTCTGTATCTATAGGAAGGATTGAGAGCTGGTGATACTACTAGTACATTCTGTGGTACTCCTAATTATATTGCTCCTGAAATACTCAGAGGACAAGACTATGGTAATTCACTCATTGTACTCATACGTGTCCTTACATGTAAAACGTTTGAGCTAATCCTGACTAAAATTTTTGGAGGTACATGTACATGTTTTGGAAATAAGAAAAAGCTACATGTACAGGGTCTTTTGCATCAAAAATGGCAAGCAGAGAATTCTCCATTTTAATTTTTTTTCTGATACATATACATGTACTTATGTTGTGTAGCAAGTTTAAACTGATTCCGATCAAGTTTGGATTTTTTACGAATTTTTAAAGTTGCTTAAAAATCGGGCCAAAGTCCCTGTACTATAGTACAGGGATTTTGGTCAAGTTTTGTAAAAAATGAAAAGTAGAGAATTCTCCATTTTTATAACTTTATCTGATACATATACATGTACTTATGTTGTGTAGCAAGTTTAAACTGATTCCGATCAAGTTTGGATTTTTTACGAATTTTTAAAGTTGCTTAAAAATCGGGCCAAAGTCCCTGTACTATAGTACAGGGATTTTGGTCAAGTTTTGTAAAAAATGAAAAGTAGAGAATTCTCCATTTTTATAACTTTATCTGATACATATACATGTACTTATGTTGTGTAGCAAGTTTAAACTGATTCCGATCAAGTTTGGATTTTTTACGAATTTTTAAAGTTGCTTAAAAATCGGGCCAAAGTCCCTGTACTATAGTACAGGGATTTTGGTCAAATTTCGTCAAAAGTAAAAAGTAGAGAATTCTCCAATTTTATACCTTTTTCTGATACATATACTAGTACTTATGTTGTGTAGCAAGTTTAAACTGATTCCGATCAAGTTTGGATTTTTTACGAATTTTTAAAGTTGCTTAAAAATTGGGCTAAAGTCTACTGTAGTACAGGGATTTTGGTCAAATTTTGTAAAAAAATGAAAAGTAGAGAATTTTCCATTTTTATAACTTTTTCTGATACATATACATGTACTTATGTCGTGTAGCAAGTTTAAGCTGATTCCAATCAAAATTGGATTTTTAAAGAATTTTTAAAGTTGCTTAAAAATCAGGCTAAATCCCCTGTACTGTAGTACAGGGATTTTGGTCAAATTTTGTAAAAAATGAAAAGTAGAGAATTTTCTATTTTTATAACTTTTTCTGATACATATACATGTACTTATATTGTGTAGCAAGTTTGAGCTGATTCCGATCAAAATTGGATTTTTTAGGAATTTTAAAAGTTACTCCAAAATCAGGCTAAAGTCCCTGTACTATTTAGTACAGGGATTTTGGCCAAATTTTTTCAAAAATGAAAAGGAAATTTTTTTTAATTTTTATATTTTTTCCTGATGCATATACATGTACTTATGCTGTGTAGAACGTTTGAGCTGATTCCGATCAAGATTGGATTTTTTACGAATTTTTTAAAGTTGCTCAAAAAATGATTCTCATTCTACATGTGCATACATGTACATAATTATGATGTATATGTACATGTAGTCACTAACTTACTATTCCAGTATCTTATACTTTATTGTGTTTGTTTGTTAGGTTTTTCTGTTGATTGGTGGGCTCTTGGTGTTCTATTGTACGAGATGTTAGCTGGTAAGAGTCCTTTTGACGTTGGGGGACACGACATGTCCGATCAGAGCACTGAAGACTATCTCTTTCAAGGTATGGATACCCTCCACACAGACAAGCATTATACCTTAAAGCCACTTATTTTTAAGTAGACAAATTTTTGCGATTTGTTAATGGTACTGATTTAGCGTGTACTAATTTTTTTTGCGATTTTGCTCTTTTTTCCCAATTAATAAATGTTAATAAACCCAAATTGTTAATAAATGCGAGTACTAATTTTGCGATTTTAAAGCCACTCGCAAAAAACGCAAAAATTAGTACTCGCAAATAATAGTGGCCTTAAGGTATTACACTGCACTGAATAATTATTGCAGATACTTTTTATTATCATGTCTTTAGTACATGTGATTTATTCTCGCATTATTAATATTTTTAATATTTTATTTTCAGTAATTCTTGAAAAGACGATACGTATACCTCGCACTTTGTCAGTGAAAGCTGCTCAAGTAATTATTATTATTATTATTATTATTATTATTATTAATATTATTATGAATATTATTATTGTGTATTACAATTATTGTCAGTACTTATGTGATTATTATGTGTATTTTTGTGTGTTTTAGGTTCTGAAAGGTTTCCTAAACAAGAGTCCAGGAGAGAGACTAGGCTGTCACCTTCAGACAGGCTTTGCTGACATCACCAATCACTCATTCTACAAGACAATTGACTGGGAACTGGTAAGTTTTACTTGAATTTATAGTTTTATTTAATTTTGTTATTTATTTATTTTATTAGTTGAGATGTCGTCAGATCACTCCTCCCTATAAGCCACGTATTGATAGTGATCGTGATCCTTCTAACTTTGATCCACAGTTTGTTACTGAGCCCATTCAATTCACTCCTGATGACCCGTAAGACAGACAGACAGACACACACACCCTATTGTATTATTAATGATTGAAATAGCTACATAATGCTAGTAGACTTATTGCTTTTAGAAAGAGAGAGAGGGAGTTGATTATAAAAAAAGATTAATGTGTTAAAAGTACTGAATTTTACGAATCTACCTACACGTACATGTACATTTCTCTGTTAATAATTCTTTATTTTGCTTTTTTTTTGTAGTGAAACCATTGGTCACATTGATCAGTCCGAGTTCGCTGGCTTTGAATACATCAATCCTTTGCTCATGTCTAAAATTGAAGAAGTCTAATTTTAAATCTTTTAAGTTCTTTGTCACAGAACATAACTTATTATTATTATTATTATTATTATTATTAGTGAATCATCATCAATGACTATTATAATTGTAGGGGTTTTTCATTTATTTTTAATGCAGATATTGATAATTTTTAATATTTTTGTGATAAAAAAGTAATTATTGATAAAAATTATACTTGCATATCTTTGTGTAATCGTGGGGCTACATTTTCACCTTTTTTGGATACTGCTGCTCAGTATCTACTTAATTAAAATAATTATGGAAACATAAACTGTAATTATTTAGTGAATAAAAACAGAAAAAGCCTAAATTGATAAGAAATGGATACCAATTACAAGATGGTACCAAAAATCACAACATGTTCTATATATGCATGGTGCATCAGTACTGAAGTTTCAATAATAATTGTCACAATAACAATTTAATAGGTAACTGTATTACTGGTATCTTTCTGTCCAGATCCTTCCTTACATTGATTTGGGTCAATTCAGTGGGTCTGGGCTCCAAGGCTGGTATTGGCAATGTCATAGAGCTCTCTTTCTGTCCAGCAATTCTTTTTACCTCTGGCAATCTATTCTGATCTTTGACGATATCTTTCAGAAAAGATGCTGGCCGATGTGGCCCAGTGATTTCAATGCATTTAAGTGAAGGATGGATGAAGATTGTTTCGTATAAGCAGCTCACTTGCTTTGTGTATAGCTCTTGGCAAGCTAGTTCATTAACAAAAGTACACTTTATGTGCAGGATCCTCAAAGCTGTATGTGATTTCAGCATAGTAGTAATCGCTGGTAATACAACCTCACAAAATGATACCGATTGTTCCTTCTCTTTTTCAGAGCTTTCCCAGTACAGCTCTTCTGGTCTAACGTCTACTTTAAGTTCCGTAATATTGCTTTTTTGCGCTATAACATTAAAAAAAGCATTAACATCCTTATTACAAGGCAATGGTGCACTCAACTGCTGTAGGCTGGTATTGTGTCTGAGGCCAGTTGTAAGGAAGGAAAGGAATGAATTTGACGTAATGGAGCTGTGATAAGTATCTGTCATAATCTCAAGATATTTCAATGAACGGTTTTGCTTTAACATGTCTTGCAGACTGTTACCCATGCTAACATTAAAAGCTTCAGCATCACAATCATTTATGCATAATTCCTCCTCTTTCAAGTTCAGCTTTAATGCCTCGAGTGTAGTATTCCTTTGGAGTTCATTAAACAAATTAATTACACCCTCCACTGAGTCTAGTAGTAGAGTGAGTGATTGCAGGTTAGGATAAAAGGAAAACAGATTTGGTGACAGCAGTCCAGATGCTGTCAAGCAACGTAATCCTCTAACATTAGAAAAGCATGGTATAAATAGTTCATTGTTATTCCATCCCAGCTCTAGAGCAGTCAGTGGTGTATTTACTTCTAATATATTCTGCGATGAGGGCGAAAGATGTTCAGGAATTATTTGAAAATTTAATTCTAGGGTTTGTAATGACCTGTTGTTTATTAGTAATGACTCTACTAAATCAACAAGAATAGAATCGTGGAGTATAAAATCATGAATGATCAGAGAAAGCGAGGTCATAGTCATGTTCTCTTTTACACCTCTAATAATGGCAGAAAATAACTTGAAAATTACATCCTCTTTCATTGTAGGGTCTCCAAAATACTCCACTTTCATTTCTCGCAGTTTTGATTTTTTAACTAATAATTTCTGAAGATCAGAGTATTGATCTTCTGCACTACAGGAATGATCATCAGGCTTAATCAAAAAGTGTAAGATCATGAGTTGAGGAAGCCTCAATAACTCATTGAGTACCAAACAAGGATCATATTGACTATTGAGTGTAGACATTAACTCACAATGGCACTCCTGGATATTACGTAAAGGTGCTGGCTGTAAAAAAGTATGAACTGATTCAGTGCAGCCTCTATCACCAAGTACTATTGACAACCTTTCACATTTCATAGGAGTGTCAGTGAGCCCAGCTGTGAAGACTGACAATTCATGATAGCTTAACTTCCTCAAGTCAAAGTGACTCCATTTTATGCCGGAGTTGTTAATGAAGAAACTTAAACACAAGATGTCAAACAATGATAACGAAACTCTTTCAAAACAAATTGTGGGCTTAGAAAAGGGGTCGCCATAGATGGATTGAGCTAGTTCAGTACATAAAGTAGAATTTTGTGATTCATACAAGAGTCTAAGAAGGACAACAGGAATATCATCTAAAGTATCATATGAGGAAACAGCATGATCATCTTTTCGAAATGAGCGGAAAGATTGAAAATTTTCAAATGGAAACAATTGCCTTTTCTTACACTGAGGTACAAATAGCTTATCAAAGTATTGCCGGTAACTTGCTTGTTCAAGCTGTGTTAGACCTGCCACAAACCTCAGACACATTCGAAAGTGATTATCTTCAAAGTGCTCCTTAAAAACTTCCTCTGCATTTTCAAAGTTAACTATCCACCATGCGGCCATAAACTCCTGGATGTTCAAGTGTATAAATTTATGGTTTTCCTCATTGCATTCCATGAATGAAGCAACCAGTCCTTTATCATACTTTTCACTTGTTGGCTTTAACGGAAAGGAGAAAGTCTTATTCTTATTTTTGCTCTTTAAGCTTAAATAAGCTACTTGGCATATATCATAAAATGGTTGTCTTATGACTAGTGGCATGTGGTCAAAATAATATAGCTGTCTAGGCTCAATAGAGTAATAGTATTTCTTTACATGTCTTCTTACTGTTTGTAAAACAAAGTTCTGATGCAATTGAGTGAGTGTTTGTGGCAAGCGTCCTCCTTCCTTGCAAAATAATAATATGACAATGGCTAAAATTATAGGAACAGTGCATAGAAATTGTATATCAGCTCGTACTTTAAGTTCATTAATGAGCTTCAATGCCCTCCTTGATTCATTATTGGTTTGACTATCTATTAAAGCAGGACAGTTATTACTCTCTCTTCTTTTTTCAACAAGCTCTTGTGCTAGTTTAGGATCCTTCTGAAGGGTGTTTATGATTACAGTTGCTATCTCATCCTCAGTAAATCCAATGACTTGAATGTATCTGTTGAAAGAGGTCATCTCTAAAAGTGATGGAGAGACATAGCTACGTGAAGTAATAACTACAGAACATTTCTCCAAATACTCTCTACGTATGATACGAGCAGCCAGTGTAGATTGTCTGGCTATAAGATCAGTATCTATTTCATCCCAACCATCAAATAATATTAATAATCCTTCCCCGTTCCTTTCCTCAAACCATTTAGCAACCATTGGGACTTCATGAGTGATACACACAAAAAGCTCCTTCAATGTGGTAGCTTTAGCCACTTTAGCATTTTTCAGTGGACAGTACAGTAGCAAGTCGTACTTCTTGCCCAAAAGTTCCCCCAAGGACCAGGTATTTAATATCTTCTGGCAAAGCGACGTCTTACCAATACCAGGAGGACCGTCAACAGCAATTCTGAGAGGAAGGTCGTTTTTGGATCGAAGGATATCCTTGATAGCTATTTCTTTCTTCCCATGAAGGTCACATATCTCATTAGGAGTCAAGCTCATTTTCTGAGTCTTCATATAATCTTGATTATCTATTAGTACTATCCTTCCAAAGTAATCCTTTGCAATTCTTGGTGGCCACTCTGTCACAACTACAGGATAATGTTTATACTGCTGACCAACGATTCCAGCATATCTTTGAACATCCTCTGATACTCTGGTGTATTCAGAGTTAGCAGGCACAGACTGACCTATATACATATATATATATATATTATATATAATTTACAGATATATGCTTTAATAATTTAATAATAAAACTTACCTAATTCGATCAATATAGTACTAGCAATGTCAGTTAGATTTTGTAACCGTATGTTCAACAACACACGGCACATGTCAGCTAGATATTGGCTTGGATTAATCGAAGACTCTAGTTCTGCTTCAATAGAAAACACCAGATCAATAGCTTTGCTGTAATCAGTTCTGTCCACCGCTAGCACGTCCCTCCTTATGTTAGATTGTACTAGACTTCTAGCATACAAGGCATTGGTTACTCGTAGTACATCGTCAGAGATGGCGTCAATTAATTTGTCAGAATAAAATTGCAATAATTCGAAAGAGTTACCTATTGTTATGTAAATTGTGACAATTAATGAGTTTTATAAAGATGTCCGCTTACCTGTCACAGGACCGGGATTGAGTTCAACATCTCCTGATAAAAGGAGGAGCTTCACAACAAAAACAGAATAAAGGAAACACGCCAGAATATCAGACACTTTCAAAGACAACTGAAAAATACCAATCGTAACAGTTCTTGCTTTTGAGGAAAAACAAGAAAATGCATCATCTAAAAAAATATTGTACTGCATAAAATAAAAATCACATTCTTTAGTTATACCTGTACAACTGTAAAGGGTCGATACAATTAGGAGGAGGGCCCCAAACAATAAAGGTAACTTCCTATGGTTACATTTCAAGTTCTCAGCAGTAGCTGGTCTAGTAGAACACGAAACAGATTGACAACAGTTCCAAAGCCCAACACTTGCTCTCCACTGAGATAGATCAATCATAATCTACATGAAATCCCAGTATTACAGAACTTGTATTTTAGTTTGCCAGCACTGCCCACCCAAATTTAGGTGTGGCTAAGAATTCATTATAAGATTCCTGGATCCTTATGCGCATGCGCATACCCACGTGTAAACTATTGTACAGTACACTCAATCACGAAAAATAATGATCATTATCAAGAGTGGATAATTATCCAATGAATGCCTATTATAAGTTAGTCACTGATTAGACTACATGTCAGTATTATACTGAGGAATGTCTTTGCCAGTAAACAACAACCTCTCAACTCCGTCTTCACTGATAACAGCAATACGCACTACACCACCTGAACTACCATCACGTGATATAGCCAAGGCAACAGCTGTAATAAAAGAATAATATGAATAGTAATAAAACTGTACTTGTTTTTACTTAATATTTTCTAGTTAATGTACTTACAGTTTTTAACAAACTCAATTGACTCCTCTTTATTCATCCCAGTCTTGAAATGAGCATCACAATAGCCATACAGGTAAGTACTGCCAGAGCCTGTGATGGTAAAAAGACGAAGACAAAAGGTAAGTTATTGCTATTAGACATTAGTAAATGATATCATTAATTTATTGCTAACCTCCAATGGCAAATGGTTGACGTATACACATACCACCCAATGGAATAGAATACACCTTTAACAAAAAAAACAAGGAAATTAATACAATTACAATCTAAATGCAGGGATTCCCCACAAAGCATGCTAAGGGAGCTACTAGTTTGTTGTTTAATGCTAATAACTCGAAAATTTTTTGTCAGGAACAGCTCAAACTTTCTACATAGCATAAGGAGATCAATAGGTATCAGAAAATGTGATAAAAATTGGGGGTGATTTCGGAGCCAATTTTTGAAAAAACCATGGGCTATAGCCTTGGGTATTTTTCAAAAATTGGCCCATTTTAAAAAATGGCTGTAACTTGAAAAGTTGAAGTCAGAATCAGCTCAAACTTTCTACATAGCATAAGGACATTAATAGGTATCAGAAAATGTAATAAAAATTGCGGGTGATTTTAGAGCCATTTTTTGGAAAAAAGCATGGGCTATATTATTTTTCAGAATTTTGACGTTTTCTTAAAATGGCCGTAACTTGAAGAATTCTAGTCAGAATCAGCTCAAACTTTCTACAGAACATAAGGACATCAATATGTATCAAAAAATGTAATAAAAAATTGGGATGATTTTGCAGCCATTTTTCGGAAAAAGCCATGGGCTATAGCCTTTGCTTTTTCCCAAAAATTTGCTAATATTTAAAAATGGCCATAACTAAAAAAATTTTAGCTCAAACTTTCTACATAGCATAAGGATTAAGGACATCAATAATTATGCATCAGAAAATGCAATAAAATTATGTCCCAATTGTATACATGCACATACTTGCCCTCCTGATCTTTTATCCCAGCCAGCACATAATATACCAGCAGTACAATTATCACGATACTTGTAGCAATATTGCCTAAAGAAATGAGCAGCTGTCTTTACCAAAGGAGCCTCGTTAAGCTCAATACTAAAGAGAGGGAGAGAGAGAGAGAATTTATATCAAAATAGACTTTCAAAATTCAATTGTTGTTTGCATTAATTCTATTTCTCTTTACCTCAATAATTGTAGATTGTATTTCACAGCATCAGCAATGGCTTGGGTGTCAGCAGCTGACCCTGAACGACAACAAAATATCCGATCGGTGATAGGAGTCAACTTATCAGTCACACGATTAACAATATACGACCTAATATATACACACAGTGCATTAATACTGTATAATACTAATAGTTATACCCTGATGTAGTGCGGGAATCAGCTCCAATAATGACACCTCCATCATATTCAACAGCCATTATTGTAGTCTGTAGTGGAGTAAGAGGATCATTTAGCTCATTAATGAGAGGTAATAGGTTTTAGTGATACTTACGCCAGTGGATACTGGTTGATCCAGTCCCAGTGATACGTGATGAGCTGATGGATCAGCGTAAGGCATTACAACTGGAGCAGCCATTTTTTCCTCGTGAATAGGCGTGGCTTATCAGAATAAAAATTAACAATAAAAATTAATTATTATT